TCTCCGCCATTTTCCGCAGTTTGGCACCTCACGTCACATCATTTTACCGAAGTCAGCCCTATAGCTTCGGCGCAGTGCCGATCACTGACGTTTGTCAACAAAATGGTGCTTGACTCTTGAGACAGGCTAAATTACACCATATTGTTAATGACATTGAGCATACATTTTTTTAAATACCTCCGCGAAGTAAAACTTCTGTACGTAGTACTTATTATTATTCTGTGGTTATACCTACATTATGACATTGATTGAGATACAATCGTCGCCAACGCTGCAAAGGGACGAACATCATACAAACGGCCAAAAATTTAGTTAAGTATTAAAAAAATCTCCATTTTTCGGACACTATGTCGTTTTTTACTCTCGTGTATAATTTTATAAAAAAAGGTTAGCCGTTTTGCGGCGTCGGCGACGAATTGTTGGAGATGCGCTTGTTTAAGCTGTTTAGCTTCAAAAAGTATGACAGTTGATTCTTAATTATCATAATTATCATTTAATTTCAAATAAGTTTGTCTTTTGTATGACAAATAAAAAGCCATAGGCGACATCTTGAATTGTACCTCCTTAGCGAGTGCGTGGAAAACCGGATGATTGCGTTTGACCTCATCGGGACTATCTAGAAATACAGAATATTTTTCAAATAACTTTCTCTGTGTTTTGAAATCTATGACTGATTTCCTTCCTCTTCTTTTCAGTTTTTTCGGATATCTCAATTTAGGTTTCAATTTTAATACTGAAATAAAAAATAAATAATAATTAACAAACTAATAAATTACTAGCAGAAGTTGACAGTGTTAGTCTTATGAATTTATTACTGGTTCGAAGTGAACAAATATTTTTGTGTTGGATAGTCCATTTAATGAGGAAGGCTATAGTTGCTACACAGTGTGTTTCTGTTTGGACTTCCGACATTTTACCGATGAAATATAACAAAGTATACGTGGTTAAAGTATCGGAAGTTCAAACAAAAACATAATGTAGCTACACGACCAATGGAAGCTAAGGAATGTAGCAAAGACAGTACAATATATTTTTAAACAATTTTCAAATACTAAAATAGTTTAATAATTCAAAGATTACCTACATAAAAAAGTAATATTAAAATGTTTTCACGCGTACAAAGTCACGCGCAAAGCTACAGCAGTATAGGCGTGAATATGAAAAAATTGAAATTGTAAGGTTGCAAGTCTACATTTAAAGAAAACAGATATTCAAATAATAATAATATACATATAGTTGAATTCAAAGAACATTTAATCATAAATAATTTAATGCTTCAAATAATTTTGCTTTTTGTATGACAAATAAAAAGCTTTAGGCGATATCTTAAATTGTACCTCCTTAGCGATTGTGTAGAAGACCGGATGGTTGGATCTAACCTCATCGGGACCATTCAGAAATTCTGAATATTTTTCAAATAACCTTCTCTGTGTTTTCAAATCTACGACTGGTCTCCGTCCTTGTTTTCCTTTTAGTACTAAAATAAAAATAAAATAAAATAACAAAATATGAACGATTATTAAATTACTAGCAGTCGTCACTCTTAAAACTTATAAGTAATCGGAGAAAATAAGATGGCGTTGCAGTAATGCTTGAAAACGTTACAATGAATTCGATTATATCAATAAAAAATTGTAGGTAACTATTTTTGTAATAAAACATCAAAGTTTTTTGTCGATAATTTTATCATGTAGTTTCATCCCCTCCCGGGGTTTCACTTTATGCAGAGTCACACTATAAATATTAGAAATGTTGTCTGAGTGAAATGTATTTTAAACACGAATTGATTTGTGAATTTCAAAAGCTTGACAGCTTTATTATTTTTGAATTGACATTAATGTAATTATTGACCCTGAGTTGTCTGACATTAGTTATTATAAATGTGAATTATATTTTATTACAATGTGACAATAACAGTAATAATTTTGCATGCCTAAAGGTGGAATATGGAGATACCTACTTGAAAAATTGTAACACCTACTGATGTGAACCCATTGTCGCAAAATAAATGATTTGATTTGATTTGAGCTAATGTTGTTTGTCAATGAAAATTTTGTTTTTCCTCTGTCTCTCTCTGGTTTTGATGGTCGTTCGGCGCTTTGTAGCCTGTTGTTTTATTATGCTAAATAAATCAGCATTTTTACCAACTCAAACTTGTTTATTTTGGCCAAGCCCATCACTATCCTAATATCATAAATTAATTAATCAATGAAATCTTCATGAACTGTGACCTCTTCTATAGATTCCGGAAACGGTTCGTCTGTAAACTTTGATAGAGCAAATGCCAGTGGATTCACAGCTGTTCTGTTCAATGGACAGATACCCGTTTTTTCGAACCCAGCTCGTATGTTTGATGGGGTGAAGCTTTCTTCAAACGCAGGAGTAAAAAATTTATGAAAATCATAGCGGGTTGGGGTGTCGCATGGATTTTTCATTTTGTAAGCTTCGATTGTCGTCCTCCAGGCTACTTTCAATGGTTGATGAACACCGACATCTAGTGGTTGGAGAATTGCGGTGGTGTACGAAGGTATTGTAAATAATATTATATTTTGTGATCGAGCGTACTCCAGTACAGGTGGCAAAACGTGACTGGCGTTCGAGTCCATTATCAATAGAACAGGTCTTGCTGGAGGGATACACCGAACAAATAATTTTAACCAATCTAGGAATAGTTCACCCGTAATCCACCCTTTTGGAGAAAATCGTACTTGGGTGTTTGGCATAAATCCTTCTGTCAGTCTAGGCATGACTCTTTCACCTTCAAATATAATAAATGGAGGAACATAACATCCTGTCGCATTTATGCATGCCAATAATGCTGTTGTCGTACCTTTTTCTGCGTTTGTTCTGTTATAAACATATTTTTTTCCAACACTTGTCACAATTTTGTTGAGTTTGTTGACAAACATGAGACCAGTTTCATCGCAGTTCCATATTCGTTCAGGTGGAATGTCATGTTCGATTAATTGCTCTTCTAATTTTTGGTAAAAATCTTCCAAAACAACCGGGTTTGAGCAAATCGCTGTACCTTCTGAAAGTTTTTCCGATGTTTGCATAGACAACCCGTATCGTTCTTTAAACTTCGCCCACCATTTCCGACCTGCAGAACCCTTTTTGTCATTGAATGTGCAACTAATATTCGCAGCTTTTGCTAAAGACAACGCAATTTCCTTTACTTTGGTTACTGAAAGATCAAAACCAAGTTCTTGCATCTCATTAATGTAGGCCAGTAACTTCTGTTCTATTTCAATAGGTAACGCAAACGGCCTTCCCATCTTGGGGATTATGATCTGTACATCTGGATTGCTCTCTCGTAGAGTTTTGTACTTCGTGACATGGTCTTTCAACGTCGACCATGGAATCTTATACAACTTAGAAGCTCTGTAGACTGTCATTGTTGAATTCAAAACATTTTCAACGGCAGTTTTGAGAACGAACTCAGAGTACTTTCTGTTCTTCCTGTTGGATTCATCCATGACATCTGAAAGCAAACATACATTACATTTGAACATGCCTACCTGCTTATATTTTCACTGCTTAAATTCGCAGCTTTTATTAATTTACTGTGGATTATCTTCGTATTTCTGTGGATTTTGCTTCAATCTTTCTCTGTATCTTCTCATGCGTTGTGCTGACGTTTTGCGGGAATATTTTAAATACTTTTTTAGTATTTTAATTAGACTTAAGATTATTTTATCAATTGTTTTAAAACAGATATTTCTTAATAAAAATCAACTTTACTTCGTAAATTTTTATTATACAGAATTTTTCAAATTTCTAGGTACTTACAAGGATTAATCATCTTCAAACTTCAAATAATTTTGTCTTTTGTATGACAAATAAAAAGCTTTAGGCGAAATCCTGAATTGTACCTCCTTAGCGAGTGTGTAGAAGACCGGATGAGTGGATTTGACCTCACCATCTAGATATTCTGAGTATTTTTCAAATAATTTTCTCTGTGTTTTGAAATCTACGACTGGTTTAGATCGTTTTCCTTTTTTCGGGTAGCTCAATTTTAATACTAAAAATATATGAACAGATTAGCAATTAGTAATAGTCGTTACTAGAGATGGGCCGACTAGTCACCGAATAGTCGGGAAAGCCGACTATTCGGCATCATTTCTAGTCGGTTACTAGAAAATATCAGGTTAATAATTACTAGTAGCCATTAGCAGTAGGTTTACTGGTAGATGCGAGAATAATAATATAACAATGGTTGTTGAAATATTTCAAAAACTGCTAGAGGTTGCAATACTAATAATTTATTTCAAAGATCAATTTAATATTGATTCCATCATTTCAATGAAAATAAAATTTCGCTGTATACCTAATTGATTTCGCATTTACATTTACAATATTTTCTAGTAGATTTAAGGCCAGTTTTGATCCGTATAATAATATAATACAACTAATAACAAATAGTTATATTTTAACAAACATAATATGAACTTACTAGCTTTTGCCCGCAAAATTCAGTTTGTCACAGATCGATTATAGCATTTAAGTTATTTTGATTAATAAACAACAATACTGTAAAGTTTCACAAAATCCATTCCGTAGCTTTTACGTTCACAGTAACAAACATACATCTCCACAAACTGTTGCATTAATATTACAGGATATCATTTTATGTTTGAATTTAACTATTATGTTTGTACGCTTTGGAGCTCACGGGTCAAAAGTGGCCCGGTCCTTTATAAGGCTTGCGTGGGGATACAGATCCAACACGTAGAGGCCGTTTTAAGCGCAAAATAATCGACAAAAGTGAAAGTGGTGCACATGCTGGATCTAGTCTCTGACTGAATCATGGGATGTAGCTAGAGACCATCCCCAGCCTGTGCACAGGAGCTATTGCAGTTATTGGAGAATGGACTAGGGTTATGGATGAAGGATGGATGGACTGGTTACTGGGCTATGGATGGAGGGAGACTACGGGACACCTGCCTGGTTCATAGTCTCTGACTGAAAAAATGGCAGGCGGTGNATGAATTTAACTATTATTATATTTATATTAATAATAGCTGATATTTAACCATAACGATTCATGAAAATCTAACAGATCAATTATTATTGACGGGACTGCTACCATGTACCTTAATTTCGAGTCTGTTTCGGCACTGTTACAAGCGCCATGATCACGGAGTAACTGAGGCACTAGCGGGTGAGATGTCATGGGCAGACATACCAGACATATCGGTCTACCCTCTATCCCGTCAATAATAATTATTATGTTTGTGACCATGACCATGACCATGAAAGTTTAAAACAAATAAAATTTTACAGTTAGTGCAGCTCATAAAACTGGCCCTTATTCAACTTAAATCCTAAAGTAAGCGCCCGACGCGTTCCTAGCGTACGCCGTCGGAGGATGGGTGTGCACTTCGTTCCTTTTGACCACGACACCGTTGAGGTCCACTATGAGGTACGCGTGACACCGCCTGCTGACACTCATGCAGCACTGCAGCCGCTCGCCAGACTTCAGAGAGCAGTGTCGCCGGTAAGTATAGTTGTTCAACATGACCAAAGGCTTCCCACACCTGGACGTTATGAACTGCACTGAAATACAGGATTATAACAACTATTTATATAGGATAATAATAGTTTGTGAAGAACAGTAAATTAATAATTACGGCAAAATTAAGTACATCGCACAAAATGCATTTATTTAAGAACTAGGCATTATGTCAAACATAAAAATAAACTCTGTATTAAATAAACATTGCATACTACAAATGCTATTATAAATAAAAACATGCATTTATAATTAAACTTTGAAATTATGTCAAATATTATATTTATTTATTACCTTTTTAAACTTGCCTAAAACAACTAAGGAAAATTTCCGTGCACCCGGACAATCACAGCAAGTATAAATTATAAATGTCCATCATACTAGAGTACTAGAGACTACTAGTCCGAGCATACTAGAACATAATCAGAAAATACAATTTTGTTGCAAAATAGCACCTGTTACAATATTGACTTTAGATGTCACAGTGATTACCTTGATGTGCCAGCGTTTGTTCTACTTTATCATTTATTTTCACGTGTTGATCTTCAAAATCACCACGTGTTGATAGTTTCTGATAGTTTTATGTCTTGAATTACAATTTCAGATTTCGATTCGATTTCGATGTATAGGTAATCGAGCACATAAAATCGACGGTATCTATTGAGCAATATTAGACAGCGTAATAATTATGACAGATAACTACAGAAACTTTATCAATCGGAAAAACTGTCCAAAGTACATTTTCAGAATCCCCGCAGACTATGAATTTTATTCGGTCAATACTTTGGTCTGCTTCATATTTGAGGAATCGGCCGATACTAAATCGGTATAATGTCGACAGAAAGTCTGTAATGTGCGGGGTGTCTCAAATCACCGAACTGAATACCAAGCTATTTCTAATTTCCCTTACCCAAGATTCAATGAGTCAACCAATCTTAATGTACAGTCACGGAATGAAAAGGTTCGTCAGTTTTCAAATTGATTCCTTCAACGAATCACGAGCACATATTACCTTTTGAAACTATGTTGCAGAATAATCTCGAGTTAGAGAAAATAATCTTTAACTGTTCGTCAGTAAAGTTCAAAATTATTCAGATCGTTCTTCATCGTTCGTCAAAATGTTTGACGATTTATCTTGTCAAGAAGATTATTATGATTGATAAACTAAAACCTTCTTGTTGGTTCAACCTGCCATTATTATTTCTTTTAAATAAAAAAAACTATTGTCAATTGGTCAATGTCATCATTGCATTGCACTGATGGGATAGAAAAATAAACAAGCAAAACCTTATTCGTTAGCAAACTTCATATTTATTTAAATGTTAGCAGCACTGTTTCTTGCACTGTTATGTTGGCAGGTTTGACTCTCACAGCACCTAGTGCAAGCGAAAACCGACACTAAGGTGACGAACCTTTTCATTCCGCGACTGTACAACCCTTGACTGTTGCGGTGGTACTGGGTTGGTTCGTGGTTGTGCTGCCCATTTAGCGTCATGCCCGAATTGACTAGGTCCAATATGACGTAAGCCTGGCATTCCTTGGACATCTTCTTGGTGCACTGCCACTTCTCTCGGATCTTCGACGTGTGCTTTCGGCAGTACGAGTAGTTATTCACCATGAGCAGCTTCGAGCCGACGTGCGTTTGAATATACTGAACTGCAATGTGAGGTTACATTTCAAAAATGTCATTCAGTTTGTCATAAAAGAACGTCCATCTTAATGAAAACTGATCGGGGATGATTAATATGTTGCATATTCTTGTGTGTGTATCAATAAAATTGTTAATCGATCTATCTAACCATTAAAAGTTGCAATTTGTTCATATTATCTGAAGAAAGAAAAAATAAGTAGAGTTACATCAAATAGAAATATATTAAATTTTTGGTTGAACTGTACAAGTGTACATTGTGTTTCTAGATTTAAAACTAATTAAATATTTTATTTAGATTTCTTTTCAATTACATAAGTCGCTGATTGCATTAGCATCGAACGGGTAAAGTCCGCAATTTCTAAAACCATTGCAGATTTCATCCCTTGTGATGTCCCTGAATCTGTCCTCCAAAAGGGACGCAAATAAAGCTCTGGTGACACTTATATAGCCAGTCTTTAATTTCCAATCTTTAACAATATTTATCCAAGAATCTTTTAACGGCCCAAATATAGACACATCAACTGGCTGAATGATATGGGCTGCATTTGGATAAAAGGAATACAATATAATGCTATTATCAATGCATAGCTGAGAGATTTCTTTAGTTATGTGTAATTTATAGCCATTTATCAGCAATAATACGGGAAACTTAACATGTTTACCTTTCAATTTTGGAACAAGGGTATCTGATATGTAATCAAAGACACATTTTGATGTCAGATTTCCTTTATCGGACTGACGGACGCACCACTCTCCATTGACTAGTCTAAAGACCTGAGGTGGTAGTCTTGATGGATATACAATTAAAGGTGGCAATATACTCCCAGATGCTGCGATAGTTCCAACAACAGTTAGGGATTCTTTATCTTTGTTGCTTGTCTCATCATAGTTTAACCCTTGAGGACCGTGCACTAAGCCAGTAAAGCCTGTTTGAAATGAGCATTCATCTGCACCAAAGATTCTTTCCGGATCTTCTAAAATATCGGCGACGCCTTCAGTGATTAGATAATCTTTTAAATTTTTGTACCACATTCTCAAAGCACTTACTGTTACTGGACTTTCGGAAATATTCCTATATTCCACAAGGCGTGCAAAAACATCTGGGTGTCTTTTCAAAAAACTTGCAAACCATTTTTTGCTAGGTACATTATCTTTGAATGGATTTGGCAGTTTCTGTTCAATTATAATATCTTTAACAGTGTCAAGGATCATTTCTCTATTGACTGGAAACCATTTATTTGCCATCGCTATTATCCAGGATTTAAGCGTGGATTCTTCTTGTGTGGTCAATATAGTAGGCGGTTCCATTTTTCTATCCCATGAGTACTTATGTTTCAATTTATTAATAACTCTTGCACGGGGAATATTATACTTTCGACATGTTTCTCTCACTTTACCACCATTGCTTATTTCTTTTATAGCTTTTGTGACATCTCCCTTTTTATAGATGAAAACCCTTCTTTTCAGCGGCATGGTGTCTGTAAAAAGTGCAACAAAGTTAGTTAAATTTTATAATACTATTAAAAATAAGACGTCATCCGTGTTTTAACAACTACTTCAATGACAAGTTGACTGGCCTAAGTGCAAAAACAAACGGTAAAATAAGGCGAGCCTACCTACTACAAAAAATGTTTTCTAGATCTTTGGCATTCTTAGATTTATTTTATCTTACAAGAAATTCAGTAAAAAATGCTGGGGCTGCCTTTTACTTCATAAAAAGATTACAACTAAATTACAAGACAGACAATGTTTTGTACTATTATTTATATTGTTAATGATAAATTCAATAATGTGAAACGTTGAGAAATGTATACCTAGTAAGCTTACCTTGAAATTACGGCTTTTTTAATTCAATCTTATAAAAATCCCATTACGGTCGCAAGTGTATTGTGGTGGTTCATGATTATGATCTTCTTCGAAATTGACGATCATTTTATTCAAATTTAAACTCACGTACGATTTGCACTGCTTCGAAATGCGTTTTGTGCAGTTCCACCTTTCGCCGGTCTTTGACGAACACCTCTTTGCATAGGTGTAACCGCGAAACAGCAAGAGTGTGGCGGTTGGTGTCCTGATGAATCTAGCTGGAAGGTAAATCAAGAAATAAAAAATATCCTTAGACATTTTATTTTATTACAATTTACAGTTTCAGGAGCATACAGCTATAAGCTTAACGTACTGATAGTACTTTTAAGTTAACTATTAAACTAAGTTCTAAATAATTAAAACTAGATAAATAATTATTTCAATCTTATTGCAGCAGTCATATCTTAATATACGTGCCATCATTTAGCTGCCGGAACTGTGACGGCCCGTGGGTATGTTCTCTGAGCACTTTGACAACGCTTCTGAACTTGCTACCAGGTATTTCAGGTCCCAAGATCATACTAGCATTGCAAGCGGCGCTGAAACGTCGTGAGCACCGCCACCTTTGACCAATTTTTGTAAAGGCATCTTTGACGTAGACGTGCTGCTGATACATCATTTGTTTTCTGTTGCCACATATTACCACTGAAGCAGAAATAAAAAACTTCAATTTTTCCTTCTTTCACCAAACCGATTGTGATGAACTGGGGTTTTATTATTTTTTTCAAATACCGGGACTTAGAATCAAATTGTCTTTGCAAATAAATCAGCTTTATTGACAAACTATTTACAGTAGCAACCTGCTGGGGGCAAAATTATGTTCAAAGTCCAAGTACACCAAAACTCAAAAGATAATTTAAAAAAAGACAGTAATTTCTTAGCACTCTTTGAGAGTGCTAAGTTAGTTCTGGAAATTGTTGGTGCTTTGATGGAACTAATATTTTGTTCTGATATTTAAAAGCAGAACAGCAGTCACATCTTAACGTAAGTGCCATCTTTTAGCTGGTAATACTGTGAAGGCCCGTGGGTATGTTCATAGCAAACTTTTATAACGCTTCTGAACTTGCTTCCAGGTACTTCAGGCCCTAAGACCATATATGCTTTGCAACCGTTGTAACGTCGTGAGCACCGCCACCTTTGACCAATTTTTGTAAAGGCATCTTTGACGTAGACGTGCTGCTGATACATCATTTGCTTTTTGTTGCCACATATTACCACTGAAGCAGAAATATAAAATCTTGATTTTTTCCCACTTTCAACTAACCGATCGTGATGAAGTGGGGGTTTATTAATATTTTGAATTAATACCGGGACTTAGAATTACAAATAAAACAGCTTTATTGACAAAATATTTACTTAGCAAAATTGCCGGTGGCAAATTATGTTCAAAGTCCAAGTACACCAAAACTCAACAGATAATTAAAAAAAACAGTAATTTCTCAAAGAGTTAGTTAGTTCTGGAAACTGGTACTTTAATAGAACTAAAATTTTGTTATTATATTAATTTAATCGCATTACAGCAGTCAAATCTTAACGTAAGTGCCATCTTTTAGCTGGTGGAACTGTGACGGCCCGTGGTTATGTTCATGGAGAACCTTGATAACGCTTCTGAACTTGCTACCAGGTACTTCAGGTCCCAAGATCATACTAGCATTGCAACCGGCGCTGAAACGTCGTGAGCACCGCCACCTTTGGCCAATTTTTGTAAAGACATCTTTGGCGTAGACATGCTGACAATACATCATGAGCTGTTTGCTGCCACATATTATCACTGAAGCAAAAATATAAAAACTTAAATTTTTCCCCTCTTTCACCAAACCGATTGTGATGAACTGGGGGTTTATTATTTTTTTAAATTAATACCGGGACTTCGAATAAAATTCTCGTAGCAAATAAATCAACTTTATTGGCAAACACATTAGTCTCAGTAGCAACCTGCTGGTGGCAAAATTATGTTCAAAGCTTATATGTTTATCAAACCTAACAAAAAAACAGTAAATTCTCAAAGAGTGCTCAGTTAGTTCTGGAAATTGTTGGTACTTTGATGGAACTAACATTTTGTAATTACATTTAATCGCATTACAGCAGTCGCATCTTAACGTAAGTGCCATCTTTTAGCTGGTAAAACTGTGACGGCCCGTGGGTATGTTCTTTGTAAACTTTTACAACGCTTCTGAACTTGCTACCAGGTACTTCAGGCCCTAAGACCATATATGCTTTGCAACCGGCGCTTTGACGTCGTGAGCACCGCCACTTCTGACCAATTTTTATAAAGGCATCTTTGACGTAGACGTGCTGCTGATACATCATTTGCTTTTTGTTGCCACATATTACCACTGAAGCAGAAATAAAAAACTTCAATTTTTCCCTTTTTCAACAAACTGATTGTGATGAACTGGGGTTTTATTATTTTTTATCAATTAAATACCGGGACTTAGAATTAAATTGTCTTTGCAAATAAAACAGCTTTATTGACAAACTATTTACAGTAGCAAAATTGCCGGTGGCAAAATTATTTTCAAAGTCCAAGTACACCAAAACTCAACAGAAAGTTTTTAAAACAGTAATTTCTCAAAGAGTGCTCAGTTAGTTCACATATTTTCTTGGAAAAAATACAAATGGTATGGAATCTGTAAATTGTTGTTTGATGGAATTAGCAAAAAAAAATATTTAACAAACGTTACATAATAATTACAGCAGTCAAATCTTAACGTAAGTGCCATCATTTAGCTGGTGGAACTGTGGCGGCTTGTGATTATGTTCATTGCAAACTTTTACAACGCTTCTGAACTTGCTACCAGATACTTCAGGCCCTAAGACCATGTATGCTTTGCAACCGACGTAACGTCGTGAGCACCGCCACCTTTGACCAATTTTTGTAAAGACATCTTTGGCGTAGACATGCTGAGAATACATCATGAGCTGTTTGCTGCCACATATTACCACTGAAGCAGAAATATAAAAAATTCAATTTTTCCCTCTTTCACCAAACCGATTGTGATGAACTGGGGGTTTATTATTATTTTTTCAATTAATACTTAGAATTAAATTGTCGTTGCAAATAAAACAACTTTATTGGCAAACACACTAGTCTCTACCAACCTGCTGGTGGAAAAATTATGTTCAAAGCCCATGTTCACCAAAACTCGACGGATAGTAAAAAACAGTAAATTCTCAAAGAGTGCTAAGTTAGTTCTGGAAATCGTTGGTACTTTGATGGAACTAACATTTTGTTATTACATTTAATCGTATTACAGCAGTCACATTTTAACGTAAGTGCCATCTTTTAGCTGGTAAAACTTTGACGGCCCGTGGGTATGTTCATTGCAAACTTTTAAAACGCTTCTGAATTTGCTTCCAGGTACTTCAGGCCCTAAGACCATATTATATGCTTTGCAACCGGCGCTGAGGCGTCGTGAGCACCGCCACTTCTGACCAATTTTTATAAGACATCTTTGGCGTAGACATGCTGACAATACATCATGAGCTGTTTGCCGCCATGTGTTATCACTGAAGCAAAAAATATAAAAAAAAAACTTCAACATTTTTCGTTCTCCAACAAACCGATTGATTTTACTTCCTCGAGGGACTTATGCCCGATTTCACCATCAATCCTTAATTTTTAAGTGATCCCTTCGAAAACAAACTCCTGTTATAGTGTTACCAACTACAGGGGTCACATAAATTAGGGATTGATGGTGAAAACGGGCATTAGTATTGATTCACAAATAATCATTTTTATAAGCAAATTTTACAAAAGCAGCAACGTTCCATTAACGAATTTAACTTTTTACAAGAAAATTTTGAAAAAATATAACTTGTAATGGATTTACGTCTGTTGATGAACTAGCCACTAATCTTAATGTAAGAACCATCTGGACATTGTTGGTACTGTGGTGGCATGTGGTTGTGATCCCCAGCAGCTTTGATAACTGGTCTTAAGCCGCGTGTGCCCAGCCCTAATATCAAGAACGCTTTGCAACCGGTGCTGCAACGCTTGGAACACCGCCATCTCTCTCCCTTCAGCGTATAACAGTGTTTGGAGTACACGTGTTGGTAATACTTGATGAACTCTTTTCCGTTAATTATGATGGCTGAAATAAAGCACAAATGGTTTAGGCTTCAAAAGATTAGATGCTGTGGTGGACTTTACTACGAAGTTTCTTATTTTGCACATCACCAACTTGGAAACTTGAGCATGTATGCCAGCTGAAAACATGTTGGTAGTTGGTACATAAGCCTATTTTATACACACGAGATAATCGAAGACCTTTCAATATTGCACAAATTACTAATAATAAATAAGTCCCGTTAACCCCTTGTCTTGGGCCAAATATGTTTGTGTACAAGTGGGTCCACCACAATTTATAATCTAGCGGCGGCGGAGTTCGAACTAGCTTTCCTCGGATCCAGAGTAAATACAAATGAGTAGGTCATCTTCATAGAAACGCACCGAGCGCGGTTTGTATGTGAGCGCGCCAATATACGTATGCTGCGGCGCGCACGCACACACTGACAAAATTCGGCGCAACCACGACTGGCTCCCCGCTAAATTTTGTCAGTGTGTGCGTGCGCGCCGCATACGTGTTGGCGCGCTCACATACAAACCGCGCCCGTGCGTTTCTATGAAGATGACCTACTCATTTGTATTTACTCTGTCGGATCTCAAGTGATCCAATCCGACACTTTCCCCGTTCGGCTATTTTAGCTTTAAANTCTCTAAACAGGTAATCAAACACCTTAGACGCATAATCATTAAGCTTTAATTTCGTACTCATCGATATCACAAAACATAAAAATAGCCTAATGAGGGCTATCGTTTTAGCGTTCACCAGTTAGCGCCACTATAGAGTAAGGTCCTGTCACTTGCTAGTAGCAAAGACAGTGGCACCAACTGGTGAGCGCTAAAGTGGTAGGAGGACTATCGCAATTGCACTCATCAAGATGGCGCCACTGTAGAGTAAGGTCCTGTCAATCGCCAGGGGTGGCAACTGTTAAGTATAAAAACGATAGCCCTCATTAATATATCTTGACACAAACACCGTATTTGTTCTTATGGTACCGCGTAGGTTCGTGGTTGTGGTTTGTATCGCCTTTGAGTACCTTCCTCCAACCTTCACGCACTTCGGCGCCGATGATGAGGTACGCTTTGCAGTTCATGTTGAACCTGGTGCATCGCCATCGCGAGCCCGACTCGGTCATAATATAGTGCTTGCTGTAGATGTAGTTATTGTGCAGCATCAGTAGCTTTCCACAACATTCAATAGCTAAAATTACAAAGAATCTTGAAAAATCGTTAAAGCTAAACCCTAGAAAACTTATCCCTACTGGTATACCACGTTATTTTTATAAACAACTAGCTGACCCGGCGAACTTTGTTCCGCCTTAATGGCAATAAATAAGCAGAATTTTTTTTTTTCGAACGGGATAAAAAGTATCCTATGTCCTTCTCCTGGCTCTAAACTACCTCCCTGACAATTTTCAGCTAAATCGGTTCAGCCGTTATTGAGTTATAAGTGGAGTAACTAACACGACTTTCTTTTATATATATAGATCAATATTATTATGTCCTAATATTAAAGAAACCCTAGAAACCTTATCCCTACTGGTAGCGATAAATGTNTTCCACAAAATTCAATAGCTAAAATAACAAAGAATCTTGAAAAATCGTTATAGCTAAACCCTAGAAAACTTATCCCTACTGGTATACCACGCTATTTTTATAAACAATCAATATTATTATGTCCTAATAAGAAACCCTAGAAACCTTATCCCTACTGGTAGCGATAAATGGAAATAAAAATATAGCTATCCCAACCAGTGCAATCGGTGGAGATNATAAATGTAAATATGGAGCAAAAGATTCCATATATCCCTACCGGTAGAAATAATTGGAAAAACAATCCAAGTATCCCTACCAGTGGGAATATGTCGGTAGGGATATGTGGAATAGGGGGATCTGATGATGGAACTGGATAGTGGCCATAGAAACTCTGCAATAAAACAACACAAGCCGCATCGAGTTAAGGATCGTTTCAAAATTTTTCAAAAATAAGTAAGGTTTATTTTTGAAAAATCAGCAGAAACCAGCTTTCCTCGGATCTCGAGTCGGCCAGTCCAACACTTTCCCCGTTCGGCTATTTACTTGAAACAGCTAATTAAAAAGCGTTAGATGCGTAATTAATCAGCTTTAATCTTGTATTCATCGATATCACAAAAAAAGGCTTATTCCACTATTCCAAAAGTTCATTAATCCCCATTACGTTAAAAATAAAATCCTAATATTATAACGGGGATTAATGAACTTTTTAGTACGGGGAATAGTGGAATAAGCCAACTTAAAGATATTATTAAAGTTTGACATAAACACCGTATTTGGTCTTATGGTACCGCGGAGGTTTGTGGTTATGGTTCGTGTCGCTTTTGAGTACCTTCCTCCAGCCTTCACGGACTTCGGCGCCGAGGATGATGTGGGCTTTGCAGTTCAAGTTGCACCTGGTGCATCGCCATCGCTCGCCCATCTTGGTCATGTAGTGCTTGCAATAGGTGTGGTTATCATGCAGCATCAGTTGCTTTCCACTACATTCAATAGCTAAAATTAAAGAACCATATGAAGATACGGTTTCAATTGCAAGTTAAAGACACATTTTCTGGTTTCTTTAGAGCTGAAATTTGTAATGCATGTGTAAGGGTCACTGACGCATTTTCACATGGCGTTGACACCGGTGGCCGCCACACCAAAATGTATGTAAATATGCTGATGGTGGCGTGAAACCCGTGTGCGGCGACCCTAAATCGCGTGCCAATCCAATATAATGAATACGCGGAGCTGTTCTGATGATGGAGCTGGATAGTGGCCGTAGGAACTCCGCAATAAAACGACACAACCCCATCGAGTTTTGGATCGTTTGTATAGTATTGCCCAGTTGATCCTATTGGTAACCAGTCACAGGTAACCAGGTCTGATGATGATAATTCGATTTTATAGATTGATTTTCAAAAATAAACCCTACTGTTAAAGGAAAGTCAGCAAAACGCATTTATAAAACTTTCATTTGTATTCTTGAAAATAAGATTAATGACTGTTAGTAAATTCAATTGGATTCTTCAAAAAATAAGATTTTCATGGTAAAAAAATACAATAGTAAATAATGGTAACTGTAACTATTTTATTAGCGAATACGTAAATACTCATAGTACAACTGTAATTTATATTGCATTCCATTTGGTAAAATAAATTATGATTCTAAACTTTGGCATTAAAACAGGAATATGTTGTAAAATATTTGATGGCGCTACAAAACATAATTAAACACTAATTAAGAGAAAGGCAGTTCTGCAGGTATTCAGACTAAAGCCTGGTCTCTGAGCACGTAGAATTTTGTCCAATGACCCCAAGCTACCCATCCTTGCGCTCGTACACTCACTGCGGGCGCCCGTCGCACAGTCGCGACAGCAATATAATTATGTGCGAGCGATAAGGATGGGTAGCTTGGGGTCATTGGACAACATTATATGTGCTCAGAGACCAGACCATAGCTTCTCTGCCATTCGTGAATTTTCGTGAATTTCAGTCACAGATTTAAAATTCAATGCAAGTTAGAGTCACCCCTCGCATACAGCCATAACACTTAAAAATACGTTGAAAGTACACACACATTGTCCTCATAATGCTCAAGTATGTAAAAAGCTTTTATTTTGACATTACCAGACACTTAACTTTATCTACATAAAGTTGAAAGTATCTGGTAATGTTTTTTGTTAAGAAACTTAGCAAAACAATGATTGCGTTCGGCGATCGCCGATCTTAGAATCGACTTATTTATTTACACTTAATAACATAAGACGTCTATTTCTTTGAAATTGACATTACTTTCACAAGCCTATCTTACAAAATATTGCACATTATTAACACTGATTATGGACTACATTTTCAGCTTGTTAGAATTCTATATCATAATACGAACAACCAGTTACAATTTAAAACATCCAATGTTTAACTTAATTACACTTTAAATTGATCCAATAAGTTATTTTTTACTTATAGGTTTAAAAAACTGGAAATCTAGGCACAAAATGCTATTTTTTTCACAATGGCAAGAAAATTACATTCAGTCTCTCTCAATTCTAATTTCCAGATTTCGTCAATACGAGTAAATACGTCATACGTATTAATTAATATCATCGTGGAAAACCTTGGGGGATGCCTTTGTCCAGCAGTGGACGTCATTTGGCTGAAACGAACGTACGAACGAATATATTAATAACATCACATCAAAACTTTCGATTAAGATTTGTGCAATTTTTGTTACAAACAAATTGTTTTTAAATTCATTGATATAAATTCGAGTCATATTGTATATTTATAATTTACAATATTGATAGCAGTTGTACCATTTTATAACATTGTCAATACATATCACTCATATTATTTACATTCATTATTAAATTAAGACACATAATTCAAGCACATTCATTCATACATTATTTCGATAACGTAGGTTACCATTATTATTTTACACATACATCTCATGAGATATGTCATAGGGACATTAAGTACTAAATTGTTAGCGCTTTCTTATACAACAACAGTTAGAAGAATATCTACATTTTATTTTATAACTATTTTAGATAAGTACCTGTGATTATAGTTAATTGGCAGAGCTACCGTATTTGCACTTACTTCAATAGTTGGCGCCACTAGTAAAAGTCTTAGCTAACTCACCAGCAGTGGCGCCAACTACGATATTACTTCACTAGTTGGCGCCACTAGTGAAGACCTTACCTAATTCGCCACTGGCGCCAACTGGTGACTGCAAATAAGAACGATTGCCCCATTCCTCAATTGAATTGACAGAACACACCTTCAAATGATACCCTGCTCACCCTGACTATAGTCTGGTATGGTTGCCAAGCACGTAGAATTTTGACCAATGACCCCAAGCTACCCATCCTTATCGCTCGCGCGTAATTATATTGCTGTCGCGACTGTGCGACGGGCGGCCGCAGTGGAGTGTGCGAGCGCCCTCTAGTCTCAGTAGTACGGTTGTTTTGTCCGGTCCCGGACTACTGATACTAATAAAGTCTCATTAGTTCGGTTAGACCTTGAAATAATTTAGACATTCGGTTAGAATGAGACTTTATTAGTATCAGTAGTCCGGTTAAGGATGCAACAGCAACATAAATACGCGCGAGCGATAAGGATGGGTAGCTTGGAGTCATTGGACAAAATTCTACGTGCTCACAGACCGGGCTTTAGTAAAATCTTTTTTTAAATTATATTTTGACATAAGTCCCATCGCTATTTTGGTGGTACTTCGAGGGTTCGTGAGTGTGGTCTCCTACGACCACCTCTATCTCCTTGTCCAGGCTCATGGTCAGGTAAGCCTTGCAGTTCTGCGTCACTCGCTTGGTGCACTGCCACCGCTCGGTGCCAGCCTTCGTCCGGTACTGCTTGCAGTATGTATGTTCTCTGAACATTAGTAGCACCCTTCCGCCCCTAAGCGTTATGTACTTTTCTTCTACTAATTCTGTAAATATAAGACAAAATCACAGAGATATGAGTCGATTGAACCGTTTCGAGCAAGAAACTTAGACCCGGTTTTTGAATTGAGATTTAGCTGCCAAGCTCATCTCATACTTAAGTATGAATTTTTCATGTAAGTCATCATTTTAAGTTTATGATGCGCACGCTCAACTAAATATCTCCACAGAAACCGGGTCATTATGATTTAAACTCCATTTTATTAACAATTTCCTAACAACAGTAACCACGTAACGAAATAGTGTAGTGAACTGTAGTGTAACGAAATTCAAACGATGACGAAAATCTTTATTGAGTTAGGTACTGACTGTACATACAATGCAGCAATGGTACTTCGTTTCCCATAAGATGCAGAAAGGTTCTAGTTATTCTTTTAGGACCAGGATTGTAACCATGAGCTTAGCTCGGTGCTGCTGATCAGGTTCAAGAAGCTAGCCGCTGAACAATAATTAGGTACTATTGTGAATTACTGTTGTGAAGTGTTATGATGTATGACGCTGCTGACACATTAATCACATTACTTGAACATTTGAATGGCGCCAAGCTCCGAATACGGATAGGTACTATATCTAGGCACATAGCAGGCAGAATAACAACATCAGTTGCGAGAAAATAGTGTCCATAACATCTCACCCGTAAGTATCCTCAGTTACTCCGTAACCATAGCGCTTGCAACAGTGCCGAAATATCGGAAACTCAAAATTAAGGTACATACATGGTAGCAATTCTAGCAATCCCGTCCGTAATAATTGCAGATCTACGCCAGCGCCACTTAACCCTTGTCCCGCCGAGAAATTTTAAGACCACTTTTACCCCCTTACTAATAAAACTTACACGCTCGTTGATCAGTGTTTTAAATTGACGTTTAGTATAGAAATGTCATTTTAAAACAGTGATCAAAAACTGTGTAACTTTTTATTAGTAAGGGGGTTATTATTTGCAGAGTAAATCTATGGGTTTGCGGCCCGCAACAAGGTCAAGTCAAGTCAAGTACCGATGTTTTATGTGCTGTGGTTTGGGCCTGTGTGTTATTAAATTGATAATATTGATCTTTAATTAATTTGTACGCTTTTGGAGACCAGACCCAAGGTCCGAATCCAAGGTTTACATGGGGATACAGATCCATCATGTAGAACCATTTTTAGCGCATTTAATTAAAAAATAAAAGAAGGATAGCAATGACAAATACATCCTTATTCTGTCTCTGTCGTTAAACTTATGGAAACAAAAGGAAAACCCCAAGTTTGACAAGTCGCAATATATTTTGGAATTAAGATGTTAACATTAATGTAAAGATTTATAAAAGCTACACAATTTCAACTACAATACGAAATCTTTTAAGAAAATTATCAGAGTTACATAATTTATTTTCAACTTGATATTTTAGGTTTTGGCACGATATCTTATTATGTACATATAAGATACAAAATGACTAGTATGAATTTAGTTATTAGTTAATCCGAAAAAAAAATTGAAAAGGAACGTTAATGTGTAAATAAAAATTTTCGAAATTTCATTACAGAGCCTTATATACATTGACAAAAAAGGCTATAAAATAAAGCCTTAAACCACTAGAAAGACACTATTTAAACTAATAAGTGTTTTCATAATAACATTAGTATTTTGAAACATAATATCTTTCATGTCTTTTCACTTTTTTCAACACCCCTAATTAATGATATTAAGTTTTATAGTATTTTCCATCACTACGAGTATTTCTAGAAAATTAAGTACCTACCTTATAAATAATAAATAACTATGCAAACATTCGACGATACATACAGGGTGGCCAAAACAGTGAGGTCTAAAAGAAAAATTTAGATTCCTTACATCAAGGTGTACCTAAATCACCCCCATGTATGTAATACGATTGTGCTTAGTTTAGGAGATAGAGTTAATTTTGTGATATTTTAAAATTTTGTTACCTAGTAGGCTTTAAACATTTTTATCTTTTTTCTGGGTTGACTTTTTTCGGATTTCTTTTTTTCGACAGATTTGTTATTGTTGATGAGCACCTTCATGCTGTATAACGTAGAGCTGGCTAGCTGGAACCGCTATGATAGAACTGTCATTTATATTCAAATGTGATGTTGTCTTTAGCTGTGTAATGAANCACAGCGCTAAAACAAACAACTTAAAATCTAAACATTACGCTAACTACTAACACAGACAATCTGTCTTTATTGCTTATTTTATACATATTTAGAATAAGTACTTTTTAAACATTGGTTAAATTTACAAACGTCGGCACATCAGGCAAAATAATGTGGCCTATTAGGTCGTTACAAAGGGTGATTTTTATCCAAAAATTTACATTAAGTCGACGTGCTTACAATCCTGACTAAAGAATTTGCCACAGTGGATGCGATCTGCGGTCAGTAGGCCTAGGATGCGCGCCGCGATAAGCAGTTATCACGCCACTATATCGATTTTACGCGATAAGCACCTACATTCGATAAGATTTTATCACGGCGCACATCCTAGCCCGACTGGTCAAATAATGCAACCCGCATAATGTACCTATGTGGCAAATCCTTTAGAAGAGTAGCAGATTATACCAGAGTAAATACAAATGAGTAGGTCATCTTTAATTCGGGGCAACTCACCGCTAATCCACGCTAAATTTTGTCAGTGTGTGCGTGCGTGCGCGCCGCATACGTATTGGCGCGCTCACAGTCATACAAACCGCGCTCGGGCGTTTCTATGAAGATGACCTACTCATTTGTATTTACTTACGGTCATTATTATTGGTGTATTTTGGCCTAAAAGTACATAATTAATCCAACCGGAATGAAATGAACACAATTTAGTTAACTGACATATTATTATTATTAAGTTATTAAGTTCAAACAGAGGACTGACGTAACATAGCGGGAGAGTATAATTTCCAGTACATCAGACTAAACAATTTTGTTGCAAAATATGAAAATACCTACTATTACCACAGAATACATAATAGCTAAAGCCTGGTCCGTGAGCACGTAGAATTTTGTCCAATGACCCCAAGCTACCCATCCTTATCGCTCGCGCGTAATTATGTTGCCGTCGCACTCGCACACTCACTGCGGGCGATCGTCGCACAGTCGCGACAGCAATATAATTACGCGCGAGCGATAAGGATGGGTAGCTTGGGGTCATTGGACAAAATTCTACGTGCTCACGGACCAGGCTTTATTACCACTAATAAAGATTTCACAGTGTTTAGAATGATGCTGTCATCCGTACAGGTAGAAGTTGTTCAGCACACGTCTTCTAGCTAAGGTATTATAAAATAAGCTTTTATGAATTTAATATTCCTACTAAAATAAAAACTGGCAATTGAAACTAAGTAGGTACCTAACTAAGAAACAAAATGCAACTAAAAGACTATCATACAGAATTTCGTGGGGTCATGATGATTTTACGTTCATAGTTTATTTTATAGGAATTATTATAAATAAGCTTAACCCAACCCAATCTCTTTAAATGTCTTTTATGATTGTAAATTTTAATTACCTATTTAAGACTAATTTCATTTGACTATTTAATACAAGTACATACGAGTATAATAAACAGCGTTCCTAAAATTCATACACACGTTTGATTTGGCACCAAAATGTTATAATACCATTACCAACACTCCTATGTGGTCCGATTTACATTTTTACGGGTATGGCACATTAGAGTAATTTTAAATAATGAAAATCTCGATGTGCAAACGACTAATCCTAAAGGAAATCAATAAACTACGAATCAGAGTTTCCAATCCCGCAAGCCTATCCCTTAGAATTTCATAGCAAAATCGGGATCGAGAACCAATAAAAAATTATGTCTGGAAAATATTTCACAAAGAAAAACATATTAATGACAACTGGGCTAGAAACCCTTAAATGTAGGCACATTTACCAATAGAGTTCTTTACACTAGTATTTATAAATCAGAGCTCTATGTATGTACACCCTTTTACTAAGTACCTACTACTGGACAGGGTTCGAAAATATCCGATATTTATTATAAATATCAAAATATCGGATATTTATGATATATATATCCGATATATATCAACTTTGATATATATCAATTTTGTATGAAAGCTATACTATTATTTTATTGTATTATTTATGAATACTATTGCATATGTGTTACATTAACATGTTTTTAATGTTTTTAAAACTTAAAATCAGACAAATAAAGCAAAAACATAAAATCTCCTTTTAAATACGGCAAAATCAACTAAAAAAATAAAAATCTTATATCAAAAGTACAAATACAGTATCAAATTTTAAAAATTGATATAATATCGTCAAAACCGGCGTGATATATATCGCATATATATCCGATATATATCTTGATATATATCCCTTGATATATATCCTCGAACCCTGCTACTGGATACGCCAAGGATGAAGGAACCCTTGAAATTTTTATCTCATTTCAATTAACCCTTTATACTGCCAGAGATTCTTCTGCAGACTCTGAAATGTCTTAAAAAGTTCCAGTAAGAAGGCACAGTTAAAACTTCACTGATGCGTCAAAAATGAGATCAAAATATTTAAGTTCTCTAGACATATTGTGAAATATTATATACAAATCGCCCCTTTGAAGCGGAGAACTGTCCATTGATGCGGAGTGGGACAGCGGGGCGGAGAGGAAGTATTGATTAATATTGGCACACCTCCGCTCCGCTTCACCTCTCCGCTTCAATGAACACGTGGAGAGCCTTACCCTTAGTTGGCTTGCTGACAACTCTCATCTGAAGTTACGATAGATATTTTTATAGATCAATCATTGAAGTTATACTTGGTGTAGTTGTCAGCATGGTTGTGGAACCCCTTATGCTTCAGGTACCGTCCTTCAACGGTTGTCTGGACGCAGCTGTTGCATCCCAGCCTCTTGCGGTCCCTGCACGTCCAATTTATGGTGTTCTGATACCTATTGTTGATCCAGTACTTGTTGTCTTTGAATATCAACACCATACTGCCAGTGCGGTGCGACGGAAGATAGTATATTTCTGAAATTAAAACCTTTAGCTTATTACCAGTTTTTTGAGGGAGGTTTTAGAGTTACATGCTATATGCTGTAATCCCCGCTAATCTACTCACCTTAAAAATATCTTAGTTTAATTCATGCATTACGAAGGGAGTAGGTAGGGATTTTTATTTTTGAGAATCAATAACAGTCAAATGATATGTTTAAAATCTCTAATAACAAATAGTCGTTTATCAGAATACTGTATTTTCTAAAATCTTCACAAAATTTATACTGTCAATCTACAATCTAGCAGGTCCCTACAGCAGAAACATGCGTTCAAAAGACACCTCTGTATAATTAAATATAAGTACTTCATCACATAATTTCATCAGAAAAATTAAACCGTAAAAACTATACAATAGTATACATATAACAATAAAAAAACTAAAATCATTTCAACGATTGTCTATTGATAAAGTCTTTTTCCCTAATGAATCTACCGTCATGACATTGCCTCAAACGGGGAGGGTAGTGTATGTGCCTCCCCCTGAATATTGATATATAGTCCCTTCCATCCAACCCTTTGTACGTTATAACATCAGCCCGACACCCGAAGACATCTCTGGATGAGCAGTACCACTGTTTCTTCCCGTGTGCTTGGTGGTTCTTCATGTAGAATGTGAAGCCGTTGAGTATAAGCAGACCAGCCCCTGTCCGGCCCGGGATAAACTGAGCTGGCACTGTGAGAAAAACCCAAAATTATTACCTTGTTGTGGAGGGAAATAAAACTACATACTAAGTTCTAAAAATACTTTATTTCCCATATTACCTTGTTACCTTTTTGGAAGTAAGTTTGGGGTAAAAAGGATGGGACGGGTAAATAAGTAGACGAGCCGATTCATAATGTTTTATTTCCAAAACGGGGAAGGTAGGGGGTTTGTTTTATTGAATAACACAAAACCATTTCTTTATTAAGGTAATAATAACAATACAATACATTTTCGAAAAGATAATAAAATAACAAAAAAATATATATAAAAGTAAATCCCTAATGAAAAATTTTAAAAGTTTTTGCTGAAAAAGTTCGATGTAATGGCACCATGGTTTTAAAACCATCAAAGAGAAAAGAAGAACTCCCAATATTATCAAAGGCAGATACTAAGCCGAATTTAAACTTTCTGTAAGGAAAGATGATGTCAAAATAAAATCAAAATTGACTTCCTTAGAACACATAAAAATGAATTGATAATAAATTGTACTTTAAAATTACTTACCTGCTAATATAATTTTAAATTAAAACTATGTTAAAACTAATTTATATCAAAGCGGGATCATTTCTTTGCAGGATAAAACTAATCAATTACTCTTGTATTGTTTAAGACAAAGACCTCTTCCATGGATTACCATAACTACCGATCTTGCACTGCTTTAATTCAGGCGTTGAGGACATTATAACTATTTTTAACTTAAAAATAGTGCTAAGTTCGATTACCTTTGTTTTGCAGTGGCACAATTTCTTTGGGGTGTTAACCCAAAAATAATTGACATACCTCCTTCTCCGTCCCCTTTTTCTCTGCGTGAGATGTAACAACTGAGGTTACAATCATAATATTTTGGGACTTGAACCCAAATAGTGAGTGGCAGCACAGATTTACTGACCACATACCACATTTCCACTATAATAATCCAAATTGTGGGATGTGTATGCTAAATCCTCCATTCGTCCATGGACCGTTACTCTAATGTGCTAAATCCTCTAATTTGCCTCTAGTAAATTAGAGAGGGTCTTCCTCTTGCTAAATCATGAGTGGAAGGACAGATTGACTGACTACCACTATGTAAGCCAAATCCTCTATTGTCTTCCTTCNTTTCTGTTAGGAAAGATGATGTCAAAATAAAATCAAAATTGACTTCCTTTAACACATAAAAATCACTTGAATCGATAATAATTTGTACTTTAAAATTTCTTACCTGCTAATATAATTAAATTAAAACTATGTTAAAACTAGAATTTACATCAAAGCGGGATTTCTTTGCAGGATAAAACCAATCAATTCCTTTTGTATTGTAGTGTAAGACAAAGGCCTCTTCCACGGATTACCATAACTACCGATGCACTGCTTGAATCCAGGCGTTGAGAACATAACTATTTTTAATTAAAAATAGTGCTAACCAATTACCTATGTAGTGGCACAATTTCTTTGGTGTACCCAAAAATAATTGACTTACCCCCTCCGTCTTCTTTTTCTCTGCGTGAGATGTAACAACTGAGGTTACAATCATAATATTTTGGGGTTTGAACCCAAATCGTGAGTGGCAGCACAGATTTACTGACCACTTACCACATTTCCACTTAGTTTAGATAATAATCCAAATTGTGGGAAATGCATGCAAAATCCTCCATTCGTCCACGGACCGTTACTCTAATAGTGTGCTAAATCCTCTAATTTGCCTCTAGTAAATTAGAGAGGGTCTTCCTCTTGCTAAATCATGAGTGGAAGGACAGATTGACTGACTACCACTATGTAAGCCAAATCCTCTATTGTCTTCCTTCTTAAAAATTACCTTAAAACTATAAGCTTATGTGGAAACCCAAATGATGTAACCAATTTGCTACACCATTGCTGTGATAAATCTTCAATCCAAATCCTCCATACACAATAGCCCAATCGAGAGGCTAAGTGCGGTTTTGATTGCCCTGTTGACCTAGTAAGTGCCAAATCCTCCATTTGTCTTCCTCCTTAAAAATTACCTTAAAACTATAAGCTTATGTGGTAATAGTTGGGCATTAGCCTTGTGCGTTTAGAACCCAAATGATGTTACCGTTTTGATTGCCCTGTTGACCTAGTAAGTGCCAAATCCTCCATTTGTCTTCCTCCTTAAAAATTACCTTAAAACTATAAGCTTATGTGGTAATAGTTGGGCATTAGCCTTGTGCCTTTAGAACCCAAATGATGTTACCGTTTTGATTGACCTAGTTGATGCTAAATCCTCCATTTGTCTTCCTTCTTAAAAAATATCTTAAAACTATAAGCTTAAGGGCTTTAATAGTAGGGCATCATTCTTGTGGGCTTAGAACCCAAATGATGACACCAACTTATTTCTTCACCACTGCTGTAATAATGTGCCAAATCCTCTATTTGCCAATTCAAAATTACCTTAAAACTTATTTGTTAAAACTACAAGTTTTGCAGCTTCATAGCATAAACTGCAGTGATAATGAGCCAAATCTTCCATTTGCCACTTAAAAATAACTTATGTTGTAAAATGTTAGAGCATTAGCCTCAATAGTAGGGCTTAGAACCCAAATGATTCAGTCTCTGCTGCTCCATAACTCTTATAATGTTAAGAGTTACTCTTATACTAGCTGTTGCCCGCGACTTCAACCACTTTGTTATCCTTAAGTTAATTAAATACTAGCTGAAGCCCACAACTTACTCGCTTACTTATCCTTAATTTAATACTTATCCTTAATTTAATAAATACTAGCTGAAGCCCACAACTTCACTTGCTTACTTATCTTTAATTTAATACTTTAAATCCTATACTTATCCTTAATTTAATAAACACTAGCTGATGCCAGCAGCTTCGCCTGCTTACTTATCCTTAAGTAATTAATATTAGCTGTTGCCCGCGGCTTCATTCGCTTTATGATGGTGGTAATGTTTCATATATTTTATGGTTGTGGTTTTATCTCAATAGCACCATTGTTTTGATCAATAAACACTAATAAGTCTAATAAAGGATATAAATGTACTATCATGAAACACTTACCTTAATCAATGTTGAATAGTAAGAAATAAAAACATCAAAATTAGAAATCATCGGAAGTCATGTGCAACGGTAAAAACATTTGTTACAATACAATACAAATTTAATAAAATTTATTAAAACGGAGCATTTGAATTCAAAATTACATCTTTTCTCACAGATTTGTTTTCATGCATTCATAGTAGCCATCTGCCTTTGACATACAATAACAAAGCTTTCAAAATATACTTGTTCACACTTGCAAACACTTGTTCTAGGATTTACGTATTGGCATATTGGGAATTTTTCAATAGAAACTTACTCGCTATTACTCACCGAGCCGGAGCCAGGATACAGGGACCAGATCCCTAAATAGCGGGAACAAAAACTAACCTCATCACAATACACTTCACAACACTATTTACACCAAAACACTGCATTTGAGCTTTCACAAATAACTTTAAAAGGCACATAACACTTATAAGAAGGCACTGATTTTACAAAAACACCGTGTTTTCAAACAAAACTATGCGTAAAACACATAAAAACAAATCTGACATAAGAACTTAAAAGATCAACGAAAAACTAAAGCAAACACGCAAAACGGTATTTGCGACTCCGCGGCCACGCAATTATAACCAAGCACGACTCGATTTCGATGCATTTCGGTAAAATAAAACACACAACAAACTAAAACAACAATATTATTTGGCATCGAAAGAGTTATTTTGACATTTACGAAGTAATCACGTACGTATTCTGAACTGCATGAAGTAGCGGCCGATTTTAACTCACTATGTTGCTTTCAACTGACTGCATGCAAACCGAAAGAGAAAGAAGATGTCGAAACTGCGATAAACCGAAAAGGAAGAAATGAAACCAATGTACCATAGACAAAAGTTAAGTCAGTGTTTTTTTGCTTGCAAAAAACTGCGGGTAGCGAAAGTACTACGAATATACAGCTTTTGCCAAGAGTTGTCGCCATAGAGAATTAAACCTAAGTTTAAGATTGACGCGCACTCGATGATTCGATTGGAAAAATTTGAATAAAGTCTCGGTGGGTATTTCTGGCACATCGTTGATATAAAATTCGTTTATTTTGTTCTTTACTTTAGTCAAGTATTACTCTATTCTAATAACAATCGTTTAATATTTTATTTTAAAAATTTCAAATTGTTTACGCTAGTGACCTCTCTCTGTTTTTCGTACTTATTTAATGACATTAAGTTTATGTTGCTTGCTTTGGCATGAAATGTTATTTAATTAGCAATAAATAAATACATTCCATTATTTAGTCTACCATACCAACTCATATTTATTTTGTAATCGTTTTTGTTTCCTAAAAGATTAAAAACAGCCACGGTGAGAATGTTTGTAAATGAATGAATACCAAATCTGATGGGTTGTGTAAAATAAATACAAAAACAGTTGTTTGTCATCAATTTTATTTTTAGCAAATTGCCTGCATTTTAGTAATCTTCAAGACCTTAGAAAAAAACTTATAGGTATTTTCAGTGCGTTTACTGTTTTTAGTGTATACAGCGACATCTATCGTGGAGTGTATGAATCATTAGTGTTACTTTATAAAGGATTTTAACGCCATCTAGCAATCCATGCTAGAATTTTTGCAAAACTTTAGTTTTCATTGTTTAGGATGTGAGTTATTAATTATATACCTACAATGTGAGGCGCAAGAATGACAGAAGAGGGCGCCTTATTAGAATTTCTTCAAAATTGTATGTAAACTTTTTTACATCTATATATATAAAAATGAAACCCGTTTCGCGTTGTCACGGCATCACGTGTGAACGGCTGAACCGATTTCGATAATTCTTTTTTTTAAATGTTTGTGGAAGTCCAAGGATGGTTCTTACGGAAAAAAATATTAAGAAAATCTCTACGCTAAGGCGGTACGAAGTTCGCCGGGTCAGCTAGTTACAAATGAATTCGGTTACATAATTTTACTATTTATTAGATTTATAGTGTCACGTAAAAGGCTAGATATATTTAAAATCCTAATAAGGCTACCATAATAAGCTATTTATTACCTACTAATAACTAAAAAAAAAACAGCACCGGAAACGTCTTTTTATTATTGACTGAAATGAGAATAACATACAGAAAAAACTTTTAGTAACTATTTATTTTATTTAAACGATCAAAATATTACTACACTTGTAGAGAAATTAAAATGATGCGGGCAGCGGACTCCATTCGAATTAAGCCGAACTAGTCCTAAACACATAAAATCCCAAATGAAATGGATGCCCGAGTTTAAGTTAATGCTGATTTCGGTCGGAGTAGGTAAATAAATATTTATGTCCAACCCTTCGACCTTCTGGGCCGCATTCCTGGTACAGGCCACAGCTCATCAGACTATGCAATTTTGTTAGAAAATAGTTCTTGTTACAACTATATAAGGTGCCAGTGTTAAGCTTGATGTGCTGTCGTCCGTCTGTGGAGCGATCTCGGTTAAGTAGACCGTACCAGATGGCAAGTGCTGCCAGCTGGACTTACCTATACGCTATCTCAAAAACTATATTTAAATCTAGAACAGTTATAATAAAGAATATAATTTTTGTTGTCTACAACTACATCGATTGCGATCTGCAAGGAAGTTTGAATTTAGGGGTTCTTGGGATAGGTAGATACAAACCAGAAATGGGCGTACCACCTATATGCAGTGAAGATAGGTACTGGCCACCAACTCGATGAATTAGTGAAGATGCAGGCTTCCTATTCCCACTCGATGGATCGATGACCTGACGGAGGCCGTGGGAAGCGCCTGGTTGCGGGCACAGGAAGGGTTGTTTGTTGTGCTAATCTTCGCAGGCGCCCCTTGTCCAAAAATGCAGGA